AAAGAAAATGCCTTGTCCCAGCAAGACAAGGACTTCTGTTCCTCCTTTTCAATGCTCCAGAAAATCCCCAGCCACCCCACGCTTTGGACTGCAGAGTCGTAGCATGCCACGTTAGGTTATTTTTCAATATTACTAGGAAAAGGCAAGGGGAAAGGAAATAAAAAGGGTAGCAGATACACCTGCACTGTATATCAGAGGTCACCAATCCCTTCGTGACCATCACTTGAAACTGCTGGCAATATTTCTCATCCCATCGAGCCCGGTCTTCTCTCCCTGCCACCTTTCTCCACCCTTCCTTCCTCTCTAGCTACAGCTTCTAAAGCTAGAAGAGTTTATCTGCCCAGGGTCTGTGGTACACCATGCCTGATCTAATGGTGCGTCTTACTGCTGTGTGGGTCCACAGATGTCACCTGCACTGTGAGGTGCTGCAATGCTCAAGGTGACTAAAGTCTTAGAGCCTGTGACGCTGCTTAGGACCCTGTAAGGTTGATTAGGCTCTAAGCGAATGAAGACAGACCCTCCTCTAACTTCCTACCTTCAGTGATGCCTCCCACAAGAGGAACTTGCACTCCAGTACGTGCTGACCTGGACTGTCACTACACAAAAGATCCCTTTACATGTGTGTGGTTTTGACTGAAAGGTGCCCAGCACAAGATTTCCACATGAGCAATGCACAAGTTGAAACCTTGACCCCACCAAAGCTCGAGGCTTTCCTTGGTTCCGGGATTCTCGCCTCCATTGGAGTAACCAAAGGAACAAGAGGTGGTCAGTGGGAGCTGCAAGGCCCTTTGAAGTAAGTCCCACTCAGTTCAGGTCTCCAGTACCATCACCAAGCCCATCAAAAGAACTTACCAACTAACAGAACTTCTCGTTCGGATTTCACAGGACTATTGCTCAGTGTCTTCTCAACCGGACATTCCTTCTCCTGACTGCATGCACAAACTCTGGATGTACTGTTCTCCTGCAAAAAAACCCACAGGGCCCGTTTCACACACCAGCAGCACAGCAGGCACTCTTACACATCAAGCAGCAGCTTGGTCAGATTTGACAGAGTCTGTATTTTTGTTTTCCTGTTTCTGTGAGTCATTGCATTCATCGCATTGCTGTATCTACCGTTTATTTTGCAAAAAGTGCTTCCAAAGTTCATGCTGCTGTGCCTGAATTATCAAGTTAGATTAAAAGCCCATGAACTTAAGCAAGATGCCACAACACGCACTTTATCAGCCCTGATCACTGGTATGACATCTGCTCTAGAAGGGCCTTATTTTAAACAATAAAAGAAAAAACACACTTGAAAGAAAGCCTTGCAGTGACTAATTCAGATGTAGATGCCTATTTTTCAGAAGCCTAAACTGAGGCAATATGATTAACCAAGTGCCCAATGGCTGCAAAGAGTTTAGATCAGACTGTCCTTGACTTGTCAATGACAAGTTTGTGGTACTGAATTAAAACAGAATTTTGCATAATTTATTATCCTCAAAATAAACACAAGACTGTCAGTGATGCAAAGACTTTGCGGGTGCACTAAAAGCATGACTTTTATTCCTAAGTTTTATGCGGAATTCCAGTGGTTTGAGAGCTACAGACAGCTATAATTGGAAACAGCCTCCAGTCACTAGTGAAATGGACTGGACTTGGGCCAGTAACAAAGATAGAATTAAATGGTCCCTCTGGTTTGCTTAGCTTCTTATGCCAGTGCAATTCTCAACTACACAGGACTGAAACAGTGCAGTTGGAGCTTAAGAAGGCTATAATGTGCTTCTACTGCAGAAAGTAAAGGTCTGCACCGTGGTGACACAGGGACGGCAGTTCAGTCAGTAGTATTATAATGCAAATGCACTGACTGCTTTCTCTTGGAGATCCAACAAATTTTTGAAGGCTAGTTGAAATGACAGTGCAACACGTTATCTTGCACACCAAAACCTATTTCTACAGCACCATGTTGCAAATACCTACTGTTCTTCCAGTTAGAACCTGCTAGCAAGGGATAACTTGATGATTTTTATTTGTACATAAAGATAGTCTGTATGTATCACGCTTACACACTTCACAACAAACCAAACTTTGAGAAACTGCTCATTTTACAATGAGGTGTCATTAGGTCCCTCAGTAAGATATCCTGACTAAAGTAGCAGAAGCGAAACTTTCACTTACATTTCCTTGACAATCAATTGCATCTCTCTCCTTGTCCTCTTCATCTGCTATGCTTTGCTATATATAGGTAAAGAAAAGGAAAGATTACTCATGATGGTCTTATTTCTGTTCTTTGATATCAGGCACTGAGGCTTACTGGGATACAAAGCCATTTTTAATTACTAGAAAGACATTTGTTTTCCGAGCTCATGGCACAAAAATTTAAGGCTAAGGATTGAAAATCTGAGCCAAGACCTAGGATTTGGCTCTATAGTCCTCAGCAAGAAGTGCTGCGTAATGTTTTTTGTCTATCCTGTATAATTGTGGCTGTGCTATAGAGGAGAGGACCAAGCAAGTTTAGATTTATGCATGGGTCCACAATCAGACGACAGAGTGGATCACACCTGAGAAGAAACAGTGTATTTATGTTTAGAATAAATCCACCAAGCATAACACTGATGAAAACTTTCAATTCAATAATTTTTATGTAGGTCATCCCTAAAATGCAATCTAAAAAAAAAAAAATCAGTGTTTGATAACTGAGACCCTTTTTTCTCATCTTTTAAAGCTCAGGTTGCAGAAAAACACATTTCAGCTGCAGTATCACTGTATACTATAAGATGAAAGTTAATCTTTTATTTATACAGTTGCTTAGGTAGACGGTCTCACTGGTACATAAAGCAATCAGCAAGTTCATTACGGATATACATCCAATTTGGCAGGTAATTTTTTTTCTAGCTTTCCAAAGACAACTGCTTGTAAGCCAGGGCTAGGCATCTTCTACCAGGTTGTAGAAGGACAGAGGTCCTTCGCTGTGCTCAGGATGGGCCATGAAATCCAAGGACTGCATTTACTACTGAGAATAAGGAAGCGCTGGGATGGCACATACCTGCTCCTTCAGGTTTTCTAATAACGTTTCTATTTTTAGTTTGTCTTCTCTCACTTTTTCTAGCTCAGCTTCTCTCTTTTTGTATTCATCTTGTACTTTCAAAAGATGCTGGAAGAGAAAAAGATAAACTCAGTTCTTAACCTGCCTTTCACCTCCTACTATTTAAATAGTATAAAATGAGTAAGGACTTTTCCATGAAGACCAGACAGATTGTATTCAGAACAATCTGAAAGTTAAGTACACAACAAGAGATCTTTTCTACAATGTACCTTAGAAACATGTTTGCCCATTAGCATAAAAAAAGAGCATGACTTTTTGAACATGTGGTAGTAATTCCATCATCAACAAACCCTCACCGTCCCTTAAACAAAGCATGTGTTGTGCACTAGACTGCGGGCCTGACCCACGTTAAAGCTAACTCTTTCTCTCTCCCAGTCTGGTTCATGCCACAGCCATAAAAACAGGCAGTACATGGGGAAGAGCAGCACAGAAACAAGTGACCCAGGGAAGTCACCTCTCTAGCCCACATTAACACAGAGGTGTCTTACAATTTAAGAAAATACTCTGAAACAGCTACTAGATAAGGAAGTTTGCACTAGTATTTGCACAATTCCATATCGCAAAAAAATATAATGACTGCTCCCCACCCCAGGCATCAGCCCAGTGGTGCAGGGTGCTCACAACAAACACCACAGCGAGCCAGGCGCTCCCTTGACTAGCAAAGCTGGGGAAAAAGGTGGGGTGGTGAATCACAACCCACATCTCAGAGGTGAGCAGAACAAAATTCTCAAGCCCAAGCTGGTGTCTATCAAGGAGAACCAAGCTGTGGTTGTGGATATAACAGTCTGCTTTCAGAGCAAATTTGTATTCTTGAACGTGTCCATAGGTAAAGCAGATGAGTACAAAAACCTAACTGAGCAAACCAACACAGACGGCAGAGGAAAAGCTTGACTGATTTCCCATTACAGGCAGAAGAAAACAGTGCTCAAAATCCTAACAGCACTGGGCCTCTCAGGAACAGACAAGATCAAGTCATCAGGGGGAGAAAAGCTTAAACACTAACATGGCAAAGGCAGGAGCCTAACAGCTTTCCCAAGTCAAACCAGGATACATAAATACATATAGGTATATTTCAGTGAATGCTTTCTTCCATGCTTAAAACACTCCTAATCAGTTGTTTACTTTAATATTTTTGTAAATAAAAAGAGAGAACCTTTTTCTCTTTACACACTTGTGGTGTAAAGAGAAACTTGACCTGCCTGACACCTGCAAAAAGGGAAATCTGTTATGTCTTGCAATTCCTGGCATTTCCCCCTGCACTGAAGGCTGATGGTGACTACAGAAGGTTTTTCCTGCCAGCTCCAACATCACAAACGCCAGCGCTCTCAGATCACAGCCTCCACAGCACTGCTGCAGGTTCTCATTTTAATAAACACTTACTTGAACTGTTATACGCTGTACATACTTGGTTATCAGTCTGGCTTAATATCCCAAAGGCTACTGTTAAGGTTTATGAGAAATCAACCCACTCAAGATTTAGCTCAGGGAAATCCCAAAGAACCAGACATACCCTACACATTTCCGTGAGAATGAAAGCCCAGTGAAGTTCAGAAAAGGTGTCAAGGCAAGCTTGGGATTTCTGACTTTTCTTGCTCCTGCTGGTAACCAGGATCTTACACGGTTACAGAGTAGGCAAGCACAGACTCAGTACTTCAGAAGTCACAGTGTGGTCAAGCAAAGGGAACTCAAGAAATCCATAAACTATGGATTGTTTCCATGTGACTTATCAGTTCATACACAATCACCGTTTTGAATGTTTGGGGGTTTTCTGGTAACACTCGAAGTGACAGAAAGTTGCTCCCATTTGCCAGTTTTGATCCCACGGATAAACAAAATGCCTTTGCTTGTGTTTCTGCTCCACATCACAGCCTCTTTGCCTTTGTAGCAAAGCCATAGCTATAGAAAAGTCTGGGCCCACCTTCTGCATCCCCTGCAGAGCCTGCTGGAGAAGCTTCATCTGCTGCTCCTTGGTTGTGTCTTCATCCCTGCTCGCTTTGCCCTGCTCCTGCTTTAGCAGTTCCACCTCATTGCGGTAGGCATCCAGCTGCCAGCGCAGACTGTCGTTTTCTTCTTTCAGGGCTTCCACTTGTGATATCAGTGCTGGAGAACAAGGCAGGTATGAATCCAAAGACAAAGAACTGGGGGCAAGTAGTCCTTGGGTATTCTCTCCCAGCACACAGTAGCTCTGTAGCTCCCAGTGCCCAGTTACAAATCCAGAGTACCAAAATTCATTCCTCCCAACCCCCATTTGCAATATCTCTTTAGAAAAGAAGCTCCTCTGGATGAAGAGCACCTCTCAGTAGTGAATGAACTGTTTAAATTGGAATTAAAAAAAAAGCAGCAAAAGAACATATTGGGGTGAAGTGACCACGCTGACAAGGAAGGAGGTTTCTGAACCAGGAAAGCTGGAAGACTCTGAGATAGGCTCCACTGGCACCTTCTGCTAGAAGAACATCTCTGTCAAGTCATGGGATGAAACACCTGCATCAGTCTGGTGTCCCCATATGGTTTGGGATTATATAATCCCAATCATTATATAATATATATAATTACATATATATAAAATA